CCCAGTATTGAGTATTTATATTTGGGACTACGGATGTGGTATTCCGGTAGATCCCCGCGCATTTATGAGTTGGACTACGAGACTGCACCAGGGAGATCCACTGGATATTAATATTTGGGGACTACAGGACGGTATCTTGGGTGATCCCCCGATTGTTACCTCTGCGTTGAGCTGTATTTATTTTTCCGTGATTGCTTTGTTTCTGTTAAAGTTGCCATTGTTCTTCTATCCTGTGTTACCTTTTTACTGTTGCACTTAAGTATACTGTCTTATTCTACATTGTTATTATATCTTGTATTTCCTTTAACCTCAGTAGGGCCCTGACCTTCCTCGTCACTACCCAACCGAGGTTAGGCTTGGCACTTACTGAGTACCGCTGTGGTGTACTCATGCCCTTCCTCGCATGTTTTTCATGTGCAGATCCAGGTTCTTCGACTCAGCCCTGCCATCCTTGAGGCGGAGTGATCCATCAGAGACTTCGAGGTATGTCTGCCGCGTTCGCAGATCGAGGAGTCCCTTTCCACTCTTGCTCATAGTATTAGGCCTTCTGTATTTACTTTTGTTTAGACACTCTGGAGTTAGAACACTGTAGTTATTCCATAGCTTGTGATTTCATGAGATTCCGGGTTTTGGGAAATGTAGTTCATTACAAGAGTTTGATTTGTATTATTTCTGCAGTTTGGATAGTTTATTTCTGTTATTTCTTTTTTCGTAAATTGTTTGGCTTACCTAGTCGTAGAGACTAGGTGCCGTCATGACAGTTCACGGAGGGCAAACTTGGGTCGTGACAAGTTGGTATCAGAGCTCTAGGTTCATAGGAGTCATGAATCACAAGCCATTTTATTAGAGTCTCGTGGATCGGTACGGAGACTTCTGTACTTATCTACGAGAGGCTATGTAACTGTTAGGAAAAAAAAATTCCACTTCACTTGATTTCCTTGTCGTGCGAGATTTTGATATCACAATTCTAAATTTATGTCTTTTATTCTCTCACAGATGGTGAGGACACGCGCTACTCGAGATGATCAGGCACCCGTGCCCCCTACTGGAGCCGTCAGAGGCCGGGACCGGGGTAGAGGCTGAGGACGCGCTCCTGGTGCAGCCAGGGCACCCGCACGAGCTGCCACCGAGGTGCCACCCGCAGTACCAACCGGAGTCCAGACACATGATACATCTGCTACTACTACTCCAGCACTCCAGGAGACTCGGGCGCAGTTTATGACTATGTACACCACTCTAGCTCAGGCAAGGTTGCTTCTCCTTGATGCAGCTATATCCCAGGCCGGGGGAAGAGCACATACTCCCGCCGCCCGCACTCCTGAGCAGCGAGTGCATGTTGATCATGTTCCAGAGTTTATCCCTGCACAGTTGGTAACCCCAGCTCAGCCCGAGGAGAGGGCAGTGGCTATATAGGAGGAGCAGAAGAGGCTTGAGAGGTTCAAGAAGTATCACCCTCCTACATTCAGCGGACTAGCCTCAGATGATGCTCTTGGATTTCTAGAGGAGTGCTACCGTATCCTCCGTACTATGGGCATATTAGGATCGAGCGGGGTTTCCTTCACTACCNAAACTGCAAGTTATAATGCTCCTCAACGCACGAGCCTAAATTGCACGTTATAATGTTCATCAATGCACGAGCCTAAACTGTATGTTATAAGGCTCCTTGGCACATGAGCCTACATTGTATGTCACGAAGCTCCCAAAATTTGAACTAAATATTTAAAACGTAAAACTCTTCAAATTTGAGCAAAGTCTTCAAGTTGTAAAGCTCTTCAAATTCGAGAAAAGAGTTCAAGTCGCAAAGCTTTTCAAATTCGAGCAAAGACTCAAGTCGAAAGCGCTTCAAAGTCGAGCAAAGACTTCAAGTCACAAAGTTTTTTAAATTCGAGCCAAACTTCAAGTTTCAAAGCTCTTCAACTTTGAGCTAAATCTTCAAGTCACGAAGCTCTTAAAATTTAAGCTAAATCTTCAAATTACTATGCTCCTGGATGCACGAGCCTAAACTCCATGTCATGAAGCTCTTCAAGAAAAGAAGGCAAAATTACCTTCGTACCAATTCTTCTGAGTCGATTAAGCCCGAGTCAAAAAAATTGCAAACAGCGTAAATTGATGATCAACAAAGGAAGGGCATGCAGCTATTTATAGGCTGCGAAAGGCTGCTACTGAAAGATTTATCCGATGTGGGTTCAATTACGCAAAGACGGCATGACTTATTCCATCGTGTCCAACTGAAACTGGTAAAGCAATTTGTTCCTATTTGGATTTTAACAATTCTGGAGGATTGAGGCTATGCGGGTAACATTAACCAGTCAAAGTGAGCTTTTACTTCTATATTTTGCCTTAGAAAATATTACATACGAGTCCCTTTGACAAGGAATTGGTGAAGGCAAATTTGCAATTAAGTAGAAGAAATATAATTATACTGGAAGGTTCAATTTCCAATGTAATATTCATGCCACTCGTGAAGATTTGACCATAAGGAGCATTTGATTTAAATAGTTATCATGAGTTAAAAGCTACTTAAGAAGCAATACTTAATGAATTGTATAAGCCCATAAGCTCTGAGGTAATAATGTACCCTCAAGCTACCACTCGGATAAGTACGGCTAAATAATTAGTACTTCAAGTCTCAGTCCCTAAAGTTTACACCCCGATAAGTTTTGAAGTAGGAGAAATTTGTAGGCATGCAAAATTTATTGAATTTTAAGTCAATAAAATAATTTGGACAATATTTTAAATACATTAGTTCAAATAAATACTATAGGCTAATATAATTAGTCTAATTACTTAAGTCCCATAAATATTGACTGGGCTAGTCCATTTAGTTGCGCTACAAGTGATGGTATCACTTCATTCGGCCCAATAAGTCATCTCCCTAGAGGCCCAGTTTTGTGCCATATGTCAAATGACGTGGCACGCAAAGTCAAATGGAAGAGCCAATAGGATCATGCCACGTGTCAAAAATGATATGGCTTGCCAAGTCAAATTAAAAGGCCAATGAAACTGCGCCACATGTGCAAGTGACATATTCTGGCCAATCAAATGTGGCCTTGTCACGCTTCAATCTGATTGATCAGAAAGAGTTTCATCTAATTACAACTCTTCTCTTCCGCAATTATAAATAGGGGTCTTCATAATTCATAAAAGAAACCATAAGTCATAACAAGAAGCAGAGAGAGCTCGTGGATCAAACGCCGCAAATTACTCTACAAGTTTCAGGCTTCAAGCAACCAAGTTCAAGTTCAAGCTCAAGAATGAAGACAAATCAAGGTTCAAGGAGTACGAGTTCAAATCAAAGGTCGTGTTAGTTGAATTCCAGATCATCGTTCATGGCAACAAATATAGATTCAAGATCAAGCTCAAAGGCCCTTAAATTTATTTACTATTGAAATTAAGAATTAGGGAATTCATAGAGATTATACACTCTTATTACTTGAAATCAAATACTACAATTGTTGCAATTTTTTTCGGTCTTGATTTTACTTTCTCGATGCAATTTTATTGTCTACATATACTCCCTCCGTTTCAATTTATGTGAACCTATTTGACTGAGCACTGAGTTTAAGAAAAGAGAAAAGACTCTTGAACTTGTTGTGGAAAATGAGTTACGTATATTTTTGTGTGGCTATAAATCATTACATAAAAGTAAATTATTCCCAAATAAGGAAAGAAGTCATTCTTTTTTGCACGGATTAAAAAAGAAATAGGTCCACACAAATTGAAACAGAGGGAGTACATAATTGAATTCTTTTAGCTTCCCTATTAGTCTTTTGTTATGTCCCTTTTCATCTTTTTTCTTGACCTGAGAATTGGAATGGATTGCTATCTCCAGCCTCCATTAGGATTCACCCAATTCACCAACTGATGAGACCTTTATTATTTTATATGCACCATTCTTCTCATATGTAGGTTGGATCTGAAAATTTGTGTCTCGTCTTGTTTTACAATAATTGCCGCC